TCGTTGCTCACTTGATGCTTCAGACCAGAGATGCGCGGATCCTCCGCCTGCAGGTTGGCGCGCTGCGTGCCTGAACTCTTGGCGACTGTGAACTTAGGGTCCCTGGGAGATCCTGAGGTGTCTTATTCCACCACAGAGAGAGAGAACATCCCTTAGGGAAAGGCAGAGGTGGCCTTTACCTTTGCATCAAAACACTGTCCTTCCCTCCGAGAAAAAATCCGAAAAGGTCCGTTTTTTTCCAGGGCTCAGGACCGCTGCTGGCGCACGGAGGTGGCCTAAGGAGGGTGATTATCTTTCTTTAGAGATCGTTTCCTGCCCCACCAACACTGCTCCGTTCTTTCCCAATGCATGGAAACGGTCTTTGGGAGGACCCCTTTTCTCGTGCACCCAGTAGGATGCTGTGGATGCTGGATAGCTCAGTGCTCAACTCTGCATGGGGCCAGGTGGTTGTGTTGCCACGGTGCCTCTTTCGATTACATGCGTATGTAGTTTATTGTAGTAAATCGTCGCACGTCATGATGGATGCGCTGTCATGCATTAGGAGCGAACATCATTCCGGATGTGCAATTAAGGATGTATTTAGGAGAGCGAGCTTGTGAATGGGGGGGTGTGTCTCTGGGAGGGGGAGGGAAAGGATTTTAGCCCGGGGTGGGATGGGGTACCTCAGCCGCGTAGCCAAGCCACTCGGGGGTCAAAGGGGAAGGTGAGGCCCTCCCTCGAAAGGTGCTCTCAAGAGCAACCCACATACCTTTGGACATAGGATAACAAAATGTTCACATATGGGTGTGGGAGAGGCGACGGAGTGCATTCGGGGTGAGCTTCTTGCCACAGGGCCTACTCAGTGTAGGGACTGCAGGTCGCAACTGTGCAAGGCTGAGCAGGAGGGGTCTACCTGCCATTGCGCCATCGCCTCAAATGCACATTGGAGAACCCCAAGAGAGCTCTTGCTATAAATCATGTGGCGGATGTTCTCCTGCCACACCTGAAGGAGGTGATGCCTTCTCTTTCATCCTGTTGCCGAGCTCACAACCCACCTTTTTGGCACCCACTGGTTCTGGATTGCAGGTATGCACATCACGGGGGGGGGAGGTGCTTACATTGCATTGCAGAGCCATCCCTTCTAGGACAAACCCCCCCCCGACTCCTGGCCTGACAAAACCCATCTGTTGGCCTGTTCATTTTACTCCCCTCCACCACCCTCCCCACCCCTGACTGTGCAGCAGAAATGTAGGAGAAGAGGCTGAGTATGAGGGGCAGTTGACTGCCAGAAAGGAGGTGTGCTGATCCAAGTAGCTTCTCCAGTCTGAGGAGAGTTGGTAGGAGACCCCTGATAGATCCTCCACCTTGGCGTCACTTCCCCCTGGTCTGAATAGGCTCGTTACAAGGACAAAGGACTGGGGGGGTGAGGGATAATCCCACTTCTGCAGCCCTTCTTTGGACTCCCTAGGCGGTTTGAGAGAGGGGTCAGGGAGGCCGTACACGTGCCTATAGAAAATCCCCCATGACTCAACTTCCATATCAGTCCATCTCATTCACCCCAACCTGGATCTCCTGGGTCTTCAGCACCACCCACCAGTCAGTCACCTGCTTCCGGGTTCTTCTTAGAGACACCAGGGACCAAACCTTCAACCTTCCATGTGTGAAGCAGATGTCTTTCTGCTGAACCATGTCTTCCTGTTTGGACACACGTTTGATGCCTCCCAACACACATTCGGACAGACCATCTCTAAAGCTTTGGGAACAGAGGACTATGCTACCTGCATTTTTAGGAGACTAATCCATCCATCCGACTACCCTAGCTTCAAGGTTTTGGCGGCTCTGGGGAGGTCCATGGATCATTTCCCCTTTCTAAACCCTTCGCTCAAATCTAGGTGGTGGGGATCGAACCACTAATATTTGAAAGAAAGTCTGGTGTTTCCTCAGCTGCTTCAGACCACTACTGAGTGCTAGGATCTACCTGCTTCTGTGGGAGATCAGAAGCATCTCACACGCTCCGTAGAAGCAGCATTGAGCAGTCGGATCAATTTCCATCCATTTTATGGCAAATTTGCAGCCAAAGATGGTCCAAAGCATTACAATCCTGGGGAGGTAGGTGCTCGGAAAACAATGAAGAGAGACACGATGGTGTAGTGGTTAGCGAAAACCAGGAAATCCGACCTTATCCAGAGAGGCACACCTGTTTTGAGGACCTGGAGTCAGTATCCTGACCTTCCCCCAGAGGAGCTTTATGCGAATCTGGTGGGGAAGACAAGCTGCGTCCATCACCTTGAGCTTGTTTTGGAAGAAAGGTGAGATATAAATGTAGCGAATCGATAAAGGAATAAATATTGCAGAGGAAGCTTGAAAGACAATGCTGGTGAGGGAAGGGAAACCAGTTATGTTGAATATACTCCAGACATTTATCCATCTGCCAAAAACAGTCTCCACTTCATGGTCTCTGTCTCCCAGATATTCACACCATCCTTGTCCTTCCCCTGCGAATCATTCCCAGTGGGCACCTCCTAGCACTGACAATCGAAAAAGCAAAAACACACCTCTTTAAAACAAAGCTGCTTATATAGGGCTTCATCCTGCTTAAAACACTATGGGTGACTTGCAGTTTTTAATTATGTTGGCTACACTTTGCCTCCCAGGGAACTGGGCACTCGGTTTATCAACCTGGGAAGGATGGAAGGCTGGGTCATCCTCAAGCCAGCTCCCTGGATCCATCAAGATTGAACACAGGGCCTGAGCAGAGTCTCGACTGCAGTTCTGCAGTTTAACTACTGCGCCACGAGGCTTGTCTTTAGCCTTTTCTTTTAATTTTACTTATGGGGTGTATGGGCTAGGGGGGAAAGGGGGGGACCTTTGGAGAATCATGGGAGAGTTAGCAATGAGGGGGAGAGTATAATTTCCCAGCGACCTCTTTGGTCATATATGGGGCAATACACAGGAAAAAGATTCATTCAGAAGCTCCTTAAATTTGTTTCTGCTCTTTGCATACGCGCCTGGATGTATGAGTGTGTCTAGGATGGGGTGGGGAAAATACCTGGTTAAAATACTGCTAGCCTATCCTCCATATTACCTTACCGGGGCCAGGAAAAAAGATTCATTTAGAAGGTCCTTAAATTTGTTTCTGCTTTTTGCACACGCGCCTGGATGTATGAGTGTGTCTAGGATGGGGTGGGGGAAATACCTGGTTAAAATACTGCTAGTGAAGGGACCAGACTAATTATTTTAGTTGAGGCAAGCATGCCTTTAATATACTCACTATTGGCTGAAAAAATTCACCCATCCACACACACCCCAAACACTCTGAAGTTGTTGCTTACTGCAAATCAC